ATAGATAGATAGATAGATAGATAGATAGATAGATAGATAGATAGATAGATAGATAGATAGATAGATAGATAGATAGATAGATAGATAGATAGATAGATTGATTGATTGATTGATTGATTGATTGATTTTTCTACACAGAAAATTCATATGGAAAGGTCGATAAAAATTTCTTTGCCAAATAGGTGCAATGCTTTACCATAATGAGACGAATTTATTTAAGTCAGACAATTTTGATACTTTCTGGTGATGAAAGTAGCACAGCTTTTATTATTTTCTATATATTAGATATAGAGAGCATGACAAAGATATATTTTTTCGATTGTGGGGGTTTGCTCCCAACCACTATCTTGATGAGGACCGCTATGAATGCATCTACTCAAGTCCCCCGATAAAGCTGAGATAAACGGCAAGTACATTGTCCAACGATGGTGGTGGCCCCCATCAAAAAACAGCACATGATACCTGCTGATAACGTTTGAATACACGCTCGCTTTGTAAGTATCAATAAAACAATGGGTTTTTAACTGAGAAGCTAGCGAGAGGTAATCGTTCTCATTGTAAAACGATTTGTATTTACTATGTATGAATCGTTGCAATTTAATTATTTTACACTTAACTGTATGTTCATTGTTTTTAAATTTAACATTACCACGCCAAAAAATATTGCTTGAATCTATTTATTTTTATATTTTCATGTTCATGGCAGTAGTCCTATGTCATTTTCATGGCAGCAATCCCATGTCATCTTCATGGTAGTAATTTTATATCATCTTGATGACCTTAATCATAACATGTCATCTTCATGGTAGTGATCCTATTTTATCTTCATGACAGTAATCCTCATTTATCTTCATGACAGTAACCCAATGTCATCTTCATTAAAGTAACCCAATTTCATGTTCATATATTAACTTCATGCAGTAATCCTATGTTATCCTTATGACAGCAATACTATGTTGTTTTTTTCTCTCCCTCGTGTTGAGAAGGTATTTTTGATAGTAGTCGATGGGGACAGTTCTTACGGTAGTGGGGAGAGTATGTTTTCCTGGAGATTTCTGCAAACTTTTTTTGAGATTGAAATAACATGAGTGGTTTCCTTATGTTACCACTTTATTCACGTCTGACATTTGGACATGTTTGATATCATCTTCATATTTAATTATTTCCATGCAACCACCAATGTTTGATTTTGTCCTTTGCATGAGTGTTTACTATCTTCGCTTCATTTACATCAAATCCGATTCCCTTTATAATTTCGAATATGCTGCATTTACCGTCTTCTTTGTGTATATATTAAGGGCCCACGATCAATGTATTGATCATTCTGGCTATTAGATATTTTGATTCTCAATGTTCCTGTGCGTGGTATTGAAAAGGATATTTCACTAGCTGCAAGGGCAACTCAGCGATGTAATCACGAACTGGGGCTTGGAAGGCATGAGGCAATAGACGCTAATGTGGTTGTCGCCTCAACTGTTTCCTATGGAAGATTGCTCTACTCCCTGTATGTCTTGGCAGGAATGAGAAGTTCATATACTGTGTTCTTGCTTTTAAAAGAAGCAAATTCTAATCTCTGTCTACTGCATATGAGATATACTGCAATGGTTGGCTCTTTTTTGATCATATGGTAGTTGTGCAGTAAGGTTTCTGGTGTTCGATCTTGTGGTCACTTGTAAACTTAGCGTAAATCTTTTTTTTTTGTAGTGTTAATGGGTCTCATGTTAAGCTTCCATTTACGTTCTGCTAGTACTTTGACGCAATGTAATTGTAAAATGAATAAATCAAATGTTTTACTCAACTACTTATTGCTTACGATCTTTTGATTACAGATCCTGCTAGTTACAATATATGATCACACAATCAATGTGGAGTTGGTTTTTTAAACATGGGTGCTTCTGAATCAAAACTCAACCTTCTCCTTACTGGCAAATATGGAAGTGGAAAGAGCTCTTCAGGAAATGCCATCTTAGGTGAACAAGTGTTTGGATCATTCAGTGGAACTACATCCAACACACAGCGTGTGAAATCTCGCAATACGTTTCGATGGGAAAAACATTTGACACTGGTTGATACTCCAGGACTTATGGAGACCTCAATGGATGAAGTCGAGCAATGCTATTTAGCCAGGGGCATTATAGAAAACGCGTTTAAAATATCAGAAACAGGATTCCATGCTATTATAATTGTAATGAATTACATTGAGAATTATTCCCATGAAGACAAAAAAGTAATAACCATGTTAACAGAGATTTTTGGCGGAACATTATTTAATTTCACAATTCTTATATTTACACATGGAGATGATTTTGATGCAGAGAATGGTATTGAAGATGATCCTGAAAAAAGTCAAAAAGTCTTCTTGCACTGGTGCAGCAATTTAAAGGGTGAGCTTAAAGACTTACTCCAGCAAAGTAATTTTAGAGCAGTTTTATTCCATAATAGCTCTGATTACAAGGGAGACAGGGAGGTTGAATTACAAGCTTTATTAAAACACGTCGAAGCTATTAAAAGGTCAAAGAAGGAATACACAAGATTGAGTTTTGCTATCGCACGAAGGACCAGAGATCAACTAATTTTGACGACATGTCTGAAAGAGCTGAAAGCCAAAATAACATCAGAATTACAGTCACTTAAACACGACCTTGAGCTTATGAAGTCCCAGCAGAAATTAATTTCGGAAAGATCTAATGAAGTCTTGGAGGCTTTCTCAAGTAACAGTGAACCAACATTTCCTAATTCAGGAACAATTTGTGATGCAGTCAAAAAATTTAAAGTCACATTCAGGGATGACCTGACCAATGGCGCCAAGTATGACATTTTGACCCAGCTGCAGACCATCATCGACTGTCCAGGCCTTCAAAAACTGCAGCTTCTAAGTCATGACATTAAAATACTTCTGAGGCAGGAGCAAGAGAAACTTCAGTTGAGAAGAAGAATAAAGGAATTGCTGCTGTACATCAAGGAGGAAGCCCATGGCACTGACAAGCTGTTGGATGTGGAGGAGAGGGTGAAATTCTTTCTGTCTGAGGTTGTTTCATTCGACATTGGCACTACGACAACCACTGAGATATACAGCTTTGTGAGTTAAATAATTACTCTTAAAGTAGCCGGTTTCATTTGGGAAGGTGGACCACAAGAAATAAAAGGGCATCAATAGAAATAAAGGGGCATCACTAAAGATGAAGTGGGGCAACCAGATATTAAAATGTTTTAAACAAACATCAAAGTAAAACAAATAACATGTAAACAAAATTAAATTAAATATAGACACATATTTAAATTTTGACCCTTTTTTTTTTATCCTTTTCCGCCTGCAGCTAGATTGAACACGAAACCAGGCTCAGTGGAAAAGCACGACGACAAGGCAAACATTTCAAAGACAACCGTGTATAACGATGAGACGTTGCTTGGGGAAAAAAAAACTGCTAACAGCCTCACGCTTACTTCGTTTCTGGTGACATAATTTACTTTTAAATTCCGTGATTATTGTAATTAAAATATATACAGTGTTGGTCGACGTTACGGACAGGTCAAGGCTACTGTCTCAAGAATGTTTTCCGCGTAATGGTATAGTAGGTTATATATTAGAGTTTAAGGAACAAGGAAATACGTTGTGTAAACATTTGACATGTTGAAATCTAGACAAGAAGACATCTAGTCTAAAAGGCATGTAGACAAGAACACGTCTACATGAGAAGACTTCTAAACAAGAAGACATCTAGACATGATTGCTTTTGGTTGATAATTAAAAACTAAAATATATATTCGTTCAGACGATCAAAAAATATTTATCAGGTTCAGCCGGAGTCGTCCATTATAAGTAACAGATAAAGAAATAAATACTATGATAATATAAGGTATTTTTTTGCTTATTCAATGTTATATCATGTCATAACAATATCTTTTGGAAAGATAATCTAATGTATTTAAATTTTTCTATAATGTTGTAACTATAAAATACTAATATTTTTCGAAATATGCACAATTACTTAAAATAAAAAATAAAATCAAACCGATGTGATTTAGAAGGTTGAAAATTTTTTAAATTTCTTTTTGCCCTTGGAAATTAACTTCTAAATGTTCATAAATTGTTGTTCCCCATGTTTAAAAAAGAAAATGAACATGTCAGCGTCTGACTGCATAACAACTGTTTTTACCCGCTTTTAAACCGTGCCCCCCTTCCCCCCGTGTTTCAAAGAAGAACTTTTTATATTCAGGAGATAGCAGTATTGAATTTTCTTTAAATAATTTTGATTGGCTTTTCTCCTTTGAGTGCGCGTGTTAAGAAGATAACTTCATTTCAAGAACAATCTTTTGCTTTTGTGATACGAGCATGTACCGGCTGAAGTTGAGATCAAATCAGCCTATGCTAAATTGTTCTAGAAATTTCATAAATTAATTAAAATAAATAATAGACACCATAATTAAAAAGACAGTATGACAAGAAACGACGCAGTTTTACTTGATCGTTTTTGAACAGAACATATTGCCAATCAGAGGACTTGAAGTTTAAATAATATAAATAAATAAGGCCTTTCGAATTATTAACTGGAATATTTCATAGATCGTTGTCACCTTGAATGAATTATCTATCCCAATTTAGCACATTAGTACCTACACGGTAGAGGTTACCAAACTGTCTATCGGGACACACTAGTGTGTCGGCTGTGGTGTACGTGTGTCGCAAGATTGTAATGGGGAAATCTATGAGTCTTCGCTAATGCTCAGTTCACACGATCAAAGCCTCGTCAAAACTTACTTTCATACATTTGATGCTAATTCTGTGTGAAGACTCGCCACAACCTTCCCATCGATATACACATTTGTTCGAAAACGATATTATAACGCAACCTCCATATTACGTGTGTAAAAAAAAATGGTTGTCATTCGCGAACTAGTTTCTGGTTTCGGTAGTGTTCGTTGCTGCATCCATGTACTGGCCTCTGTGCAACGGTTGGGGAAGCGATGTTGCTTTTCTAACAGCTCCTTGCTGATGCCAGGGCAGCCTTGACGCTTTAGACCGATGTCGAGTTCACAGTGGCATCGTCCAGATGGTTCCATGCTATTATTGTGCGTGGGAAGAATGATTGTTGATACTGCACTGTCTTGCAACGAGGCACGATGAAGCATTGTTTCGGGTGTAATTGTTTATCGGGTTGTCAGTGGTGAAATTAGTGTTCAGTGAGCGTTTGGCTCTAATCAATTGACCCTGTTTCTGTTGGGTGAGGTACGTGCCTGCTGGGATGGCCGGCACCAGCCCCATGACCACTTTATAAAAGAATATCAGGGAGAGCTCCTCTCGTCTGTCTTTAAGGGAGAGGATGTCAAATCTTTTTAAGAGGCCAGTGACGAAGCCAAAAGTGGTGGATTTGTAGTCACGAGTAGTTTAAATTGACTACGCTGAGTTATCAAAACAACAGCAGCCTCCAATAAGAATTATGTACTTAGACAATTAGAAAATAATGAAGACGTAATGACTAAAATATATCAGACGATAGATGGGCGCGGTGCATGATGTACAGTTACTTTAATTACTAATAAAGCATGTTCTTTTCTTATCTAAATTCTGAACCTGTAACAATAACACATTATTTTTTTGTTGTTCGTCCGACGAAGTCGACAAGGACCATCGAATCATCCGGTTAGGGGCGGGCGGGGGGGTTGGGATTACGGTGAGCTCTTAGGTGGCTTGTTAGACCGAAACTTGCACGGAACAATCTATGACACCGTGGGCATGGAATAGTTGCTTTAGACGATGACCTAATGTTGCTCTTTCGGACAAGCCTGCGTGTCTCAGCTGTGGTTATTCTCTTAGCTTCATGGGATTTAGCCCCCTTCTTGACAGCAGCTCTCCATCAGGCTCTGTCCTGGGCTGTCTGCACCCATTGAGTAGTGTTTATGCTGAAGGCCTTTAGTGCCACTTTCAGTAAGTCTTTGTAACGCTTTCTTTGGCCTCCTTGGGAGCGCTTGCCTATCGTGAGTTCTCCAAAGAATATTTGTTTCGGGAGCCGGTGATCTGCCATACGGGCTACGTGTCCCATCCAACGGAGCTGAGACTGTATCAGAGTGATGAAGATACTAGGTAGTTTCGCTCTAGCGAGGACCTTGGTGTCGGGGACTTTGTCTTGCCACCTGATGTCGAGGAGTTTCCTGAGGCAGGTAGTGTGAAACACATTATAAACATAGCATAAAAATTACAGTATGGCTGCTTCTTTTACCAGTTACTTCTGTTACGAACGGCTCGCATCCGTATATACTACTATCGTGAGATAAAAAAACAACAAACAACAAACAAACAAATTATTAAGTCTACACTAACTGACCAACGCATATAATTCTAATACAAACACGTTTCTTTTTGGGCGACTAAAAACTTTTTTTTTTTTTTTTTTTTTTAAATAGTATAAATATACGTGATAATAAAGTTGGACTCTTACAATAATAGTTTTTTGCGCAGACTTTTTTTTTTGTGGACGAACTCGTCTTTGGAAATTTTATTGTCAGCTCGAACTTCGCGCTGGTAAAATTTAAAGAGGATTGATGGGGCGATGAGTGTTTTAAAGAAATTTTTTTTGGGGTGTAAATTCCCACATTAATTATATCAAATTAATTAGTCATTACAACTGCGCGTACCAGTAACATAACAGGTAGAAGAGTCGGGCACTATAGCTGGTCGGCGAACAGTAGCATGTTGATATAGTCATACTAATCATAATCTTGTTTAGGGCAATCCTTTATAATCTGCATGTTCTGTAACGTCTGGTGAAATCACTCATGTGCTCCCTGCGACCCGGGATAATATGCTCTCTACAAACACTGCTCTATTTCCAATTGATTCGTAACGTGTTGAAAAAATCCAGCCTTAACCTTGGTTTCTTTGTCAGACTGTACCTGCTTTGGAAGACCACACAATGAAAAAAAAAAAAAGACTTTGTCAAGTCTTTGACGATGTTCGGAGTCTTGATATTACGAAGCGGAATAGCTTCTTGGAATCTTTTTTACGCACACATGATTTTCAGCAAGTATTGGTGTCCTGATTTTGTCTTTGGTAGAGTTCATCCCAATAGAACTCTATTCAGAATATAATTTACATCTTTAAAGTAAAATATTAAAACTTTAAAGTATGTAATATTTCATAGGACTATATTAGCAAATACACTAACACACTATTTCTGTCCCCAAAAGTATATAGTTTAGAGACAATTAAGTTACAAACACGTTTATTTTTCTTAAATGTGGGCACCGAATCTTATGCTAATAAAAATTAATGCTGACCGTATTTGTTTGATTGATGAAAAATTTAGAATTAACATCTTACAATGACTATCCGAGAAGTATAAAGCTTTCTTTAGCCAGTAGCAAGACGAATATTCATTAAGTAAATGCCCGTTTCTTGAGCTTGAGGTGATTAAGGAACATTCAACATGCGATCCTGTGGCCAAAAAAAAAAATAAAAATAAGTAACGTGATTATTTTGAAGCTTAAATAGACTTAAAGTAAATGTTATTCTTTTTTTTTGCCACAGAAATTAAGAAATTGTGTATTCATATCCCTGAAAAGCTGTTCGAGAAGCAGTCTGTAATTGGTATATGTGTGTGAAGTAAATTATCACCTTCGAAAAAAGTCTTGACTCATGTCACACTTATCTGCTATGATTAAGATAAATATTGTAAGGAAACCTTGCTTACTCTCTGCTAACCTTCATCTATATCTGGCATTTACTAAAGAACAACTCAGGCGATAACATTTGATGATTAAAATCTTGCTCTTTATGAGGCTGACACTTCGCTTATACTTTCTCTCATCTCACAACTCTGACTGCCCTCTTCTCCTACCATTCGGCCGCGCTCTCGCCCGTCCTGTCCAGAGGTCCCTATTTATAAGTCCACCAGCCAACCGAGGCGTCTCTAGATATTACTCCCCCTGCCTTCTTAAGTCTTGATTTGTCCGCTACGCGCCAAACACCTGGACTGAACTCTGGCGTGGTTTTGCCCCTCATCCCTGCCCGCTGCATTCCTCAGGTCTGTAATCTTACGCGCCCGTCCCTTTGATCAGTCGGAGCCTACGCCCACCCCTGTCGCCACCAGGTTACCAACCAGTCGTCCCAGGGAAACACCCTGGTCAGATGGCCGGTCACCCCAGATGGCCAGTACCCTGCTGCGAGATCTGACGCACCCGGCGTTATAACTGATATAACATGGCAAAGTGTACACCCAAAAACGGCTGCTAAATTTTATATTTTTTTGAATCTCTATGAAATTTTAGAATTGTCTCCTCGAATTTTTTCTCTATCAGATAGTTTTTATTTCCCACGTTTGGTTTTTTGTGTGGCTTCAGGTAAAGCAATTTTTAAAACTTGATTTCATGATTAATTTAATGACAGACTGAAATGAGGGAATATGTCAAATGTAAGAAGAGTTTAGGCTTAAAATGTTAGTTTGATATTATATTGGCTGAATATAGTTGTTTGATCTTAAAGGGTGTTAAAAAGATTTAATTTCAACTTGCACTCTACTCCCAAATTAACTTACTTAGTTGAAAATCTAGGCGTTTGTTGTAGCGGTGATGTCGAATGACACAAACTCAGACAGAAAGAATTTCACCCTCTCCTCCTCATCCTCTAGCTTGTCAGTGCCATAGGCTTCCTCTTCAGCTGTTCATTTCTTCTTCTTCTTGACTGAATTTTGTTTTTCAAAGGGCTCAAGTGCATTTTAATGTCATGACTTAGTAGATTTAGTTTATAAAGGCTTGGACAGTCATTGATGGTCTGCAGCTGTGTCAAGATATCAGACTTGTCCCCATTTGTGAGGTTGTCGTTAAAGTTAAGCTTTAAGTTTATGGCATCATAAACTTGACCTGAATTAAGGGAAAGTGAGAGGGCCTCCAAGACCTCATCAGCTCTTTCCAAATTTATTTTTCAGTGTGACCTGATGGGCAGTAAGTCGTGTTT